AAAATAATATCTGTCAGATTTTCATTTGACAATGAAAGTTCTTACCCTGAATACACAATGCTGATCCTAGAATCCCTCCCTTGTATTATTCAATTAGGTCCTATATATCTCTTTTTCTGTCTTTATTAACACGAGTGCCTGTTTCTCTGCAATCTTCATTCTTATTTTTGTATTTTTCTTTACCGTTGCATTGTTTCTCGGATAAATAAGTATTCGCAGATACCGGCGACGGGTATGTATTCTGTTGCTCGGTTCATGGAGACGAATAATTTTGTACCAGGGAACTGTAATCTATTACAGAAAATCGAGAATTCCCTCGACGAGCTCGGCGTCTGGACATGGTCTGATCTTCTGGTTGCTTTGAAGCATTACCAAGATTCACCACAGGCTGCAATGTCTTCCGGTATACTCGAAAAATGCTTCGATACACTTGTTGTGAGGCTGGCCATGGCCGGTGAGGCAACTCCTTGTGGATCGATTTCTTCCGCGGATAGCTCCAGGTGTCGGATTTCTGTTGATAGTGGAAGTACTTCGAGTTCGAAACACAGCTTCTCTCGAGCAACTTGGTGGTTCGAAGACCTTTTGGTTTTGAGTCCGAATTCGATTGAAATGCTGGTGAAATCAATGGTGTCTCGGAAGTACAATCATATGATCATCAGTCGGTTCCTATTCTATTACTCGAAGTCTAAGTTTTACGCTGTGTCATCGGATGAGAAAAGCAAAGTTCTCGAAATTGTGATCGATATGCTTTACACTCTTGATCCAAGTTCGATTTCATGCAAGAGTTTGTTTGGCGTACTCCGTCCCATGCGGTGTTCGAACACGAGCAAAAGCTGCAGGAACAAGTTGGAGAGTATGATAGGTTCTCAATTGGACCAAGCAACATTAGATGATCTCCTAATTCCGTCTCCGTGCCGAAGAAGTTATCGGTATGATGTGAATCTTGTTCTTAGGTTACTCAAGGCATTTCTACGCGGCCAAGGCTCGGAATTATCTCTGATGCGAATGAAAAAGGTTTCTAGCTTGATTGATCAGTACATAACAGAAGTAGCTCCGGATCGTTGTCTAAAATCGCCGAAGTTTGTAGCTTTGGTAACGGCCTTGCCGGATTCTGCTCGGGACTTATATGATGAATTATACCATGCCATGGACGTGTATCTGGAGGTAGACATTGATCTCATTTATATATTATGAAACATTACTCCATAATCATTTTCAGTGTACATATGGTTTCCAATAGGTTCATGAAGAGTTGTCTGAAGAAGAAAAAATGAAGATGTGTTGTGCATTGAACTATGATAAGCTCTCTAGTGAGGCTTGCCTACACTTTCTCGGAACCCGAAATTTCTGTCGAGAACACACGTCCGAGCTCTCGTTTCGCAGCATTCGAACTCAAGGACTTACATCGGGGCACTATCAACGCTAAACGTTACACCGATTTGCCGTATAGGTTAACTGGGATCGGAGGCGGTGAAGAAGATGATGTTTACAATGACAAGCTGGGAGCACAAATACAAAGGATGCAATGGAGGGTGATGGAATTGGAGAAAGTGTGTTGGAAAATGCAGAGCCAAATGGCCAAAATAGAGAAACCAAAAGTGTCAAATCAAAGAAGCACAAGATCCCTCCCCAGAATGTGTTCATGAAAGAGAAATTTCTCAGAATTATTTACAGTTTCTCTTTGAACTTTGAAGGAGTATTATTTTGCTTAAACGCCACACTTCTCTCCTTTTTGACTTTCAATGCTCCATTCGTTTCATGAAACATCTATCCTAGGTTGTTCAACAGCCAATGTTGTGCAAATTATATGTGAATTCATTATATTTTCTCTAAGTCTTTTTCATGAGTTGTATCTTTGTTTTCATCCCTTCGTCTACTAATATTTTCGAAAGAATTTCTCTGTCGATTGAATCCTTCAAAGATTCATATCGCTAGATCAACTGCGATCCTTTGATATAACTTCTAACATACCCATATCATCTTAAATTGAAAGGGATATTATTAAATTTGTGAACTTTATTTGAGTAAAGTCTACTCATAGGTTCATTCTTTGTGAATTAAGAGACTTCAATAGAATGTTATTAGGAAAGCTTTGAAGATTAATAATAACGGCTCATTTGGTAAGAGTTAATAATATAATACGTATCTCGGTATGTAGATTAATATTACTCACTTGTTTGGTTGATAAAATTAACCTAAGAGGGCCTAACGTACCATTTTAGCCTCAATTCCAGCTGGAAAAAGTCTCCTTTTGCTCAAGCTTTTCAAAATTTATGTTTCATCGACCTGTTGAATGATTTTAGCGGTTCAAATAATTTCATTATCTCGAATAAGACTTGTAACCCCTCAAACCGATGCGGATAACCCGATCCGATCTAGAGTGTCACATTATGACCACTAGAGCGACCTACTGTAAAAATCTCAGAAAATTTAAAACTTTTGTCAAAACATGTAACTCATGAAATGATTTATCAGTATGCAGAAATAAAACATATTTTCAGACTCAGATATAAAACAAAATACAATTACATGCCCCCTAATCACATGTATCATACTCTGCAAACAACGCCGGAAGAACTCCCTTACTGAAGTTGATAGCTACACTGGTACAATTCTTTTAACCTGAAAATGTGAGTAATAGAGTGAACTTTGGAAAGCTCAGTAATACAGAACTACCAGATGATGATGAAGAACGTGCAGATACAAATAAACATATATTTCCTTATCGGTTCAAACATCTACAGATCTTTATGTTGAGCGAAAATCCTAATGATATTTCAGGAAGTAACAGACAGTGAGCTTTCAGTTCAGAGGAAGATATTTCGGATGACTGGGTTCAAGAGATCATGATAGGTTATATAGTGTGTTCCCTCAAAACCAGTGAAAAGATACAGATCTTTTTAAAACCTATTTTTATTTATCAAAAACCATAGTAATCCCTCAATCCGAACACATCATAATGTGTAGATTCTCTAGAACCATACACCCCTGCACAACAGTAAGACCCTGAGTACAAAGCCAAGGAACCTGTAGATATACTTCCTCCAACAATACCCCCAAATAAAATATTTACCGTCAATAAACGGAGATATCAGAAAACAAAACATAATTCAGATAAGATATCAGAACAAAATCCAGGTCAAGAATCAGAACAGATTTCAGATCAGATGTCAGAACATAATTCAAATCGGAAATCAGATAAAATATTCATGTGAGTAGGGAACACACTAGAGTTTCCAGATATTATTCAGAGATATTGGATAATCTTATCGGGCGGAGAAACACGGATCTTCAGTTTACCGATAGAATGTCGGAAGTTAGAATCACTATTGGAAGAGTTCATTAACTGACATGATCATCAGTTATTCAGAATATGATTTATCAGGATCATCTTATTCGAACATTTTTCAGAAGCTCTACGTAATTAGAAGGGTATTCAGAATCCTTTACATCTGAGTTACTTGTGTTTTCATACATAACCAGAGTGATTTGAGCTGATAAGGAAGAACGAAGATTCAGGACCTTTACAATCTATGTCGATTGATCGGATTATCAAACAACTCTTAGATGAATAGTTCCCAGAACTAATGTTTGTCGACTGGTCAATTCATTGTCCTTCCAGGGTATTTACTCTTTAATACCACAAATTATTGTCCATAGATTATATTCAGAATCATCGCTGAATAGATCTTCCAATGTCTTTATTTCATTTCCACGCTTCCACAATATCATGAAATGCTGACGTGCTTGATTTGTAGTTCATGACTCAGAAGGACAATACATCATTTAAGTTCATTAGCATTCCCAGACTCATCCAAATCACTTATTTAATCCTCAGTCATTGAGCTTACTTAGATCACTTAGTAGTCAAGTCTATCCCAGTTACTTCAGAGTTTTCCAGAGTAATTCGGACGTTTCTGAATTTCGATACATATTATACTTTCATTAAGTTCAATTTGGTATTCGTAGTTGATTTGTCTAACGAATATCCACTTCTTAGTACCGAATGTGATATAGAGTTGAGCTGAGCTGAGTACTTTCAGAATTATCATCAATCCAAACTTGAGGATATGAACCAGAATTCGAGTGGTATCTATATTATTCAGGTACTGACATAGCATTAGTGTTGGTCAACTCACTTAAGTTGAGTTCCATAACTTTTAAGGGTAGTGCAACATCCATGTTTATTTGGATTTCTTAATTAATCCAAGACATTTACTTAGTCTAGGCTATAAGGACATTTTGGTCATTTTACAAATCTAGGGTATTTCAATCCTTTCCTTTCGTCCGGTCTTATTATTTAATTCAATTTATCATTTACTTCAGTCTTTTCGAACAATTCTGTCAAAGAGCATCCTCGATAAATTATTCCTCAGATATTTACTCATAACTCAGAGATTTACGGATTATCAGGAATTTTTTGTATAAACGTGTGAACTTAACGATGAAACTAGTAATTCATCGATTTAGGCATGACTTCTTGAGTACTTTTTCATTCAGGGTCAATTTGAGCTATTTTTTCCTCTTAAGGGTAATCTCGTAATTTCTTAACCATATAATTTCGGTATTAAAACTCTTAACAAAGATAATTATAATTTAGAGATTCTAGGGTTAATCGCTTTCCCAGATCTCTAAACTTTAAATTATTCCTTATCAACTTCTAGTATCTTGTACAAGCCATCTTGGTTTAGAAATCGGTTATCCATATTTCCTAAGCAAAACTAGTATTTTCTATACACATCAGTAGTTTCATCAGATCAATTTGTTTTTACAAACTTCTTATCCATCTTCCAAGGTCAATTCTTGTCTTTTTACAATATAAGGTTATTTTCGTAATTTTTCCTAATCAAAGTATTCTCATAATTTATCATCCAAGTACCTTTAATGAGATAAATTATAATTTATATATTCAGGACTAGTTTCTTTATTACTCAATCACATAACTTGTAATTCAATAGAGACTTAACTAATTTATCACTTAAACAGTATTCGGTTCGAATTCATCTATAATCAAACATCCATAATCAAACATGCATAATAGACAAATCATATACATCCATGCATTTATCAATTATCAATATGTTTCATAAAACATAAAGAGGTATTAATGTATTACCTTGATTTTCGTGTCATACTGATCGACCATTTAACTCCATTCGAACGCCCTCAATCTTGAAATAAACTTCCAATAATTATTCGGATATATATCAACAAAAATTTCATCAAAAAGAGCTTAATTGCGAAAAACGGATCGAATTGGGTGATTAATCAGTAAAAAAACATCTTACCGAGTTCGAATTTGACGAAACGGACTTCATAATCAAACTCATGAAGTCAACAAAACCCAAAATATGATTCTTGAATTTAATCTCACTAACTTGATTTCTAGCTTCCAATCTTTTTCTCACAAACACGGACAATCCACCATACAAATAAGACTTCAAATAATTTTCTATACGATAGATCGGAGGGACCATTAAATCCGCTTTAGATTTCAAAGTTGGCATAACCGAAAAATGTGGTGCCAATTCTTTTGACCTAAAAGTCAATCCAATGTACATAAAGATGCAGAATTGAGCCCATTCCCGAACCAATGACCGAAGCCAGTAATTCTCCGAGGAGTCATAAATGTTAATGTATATCATAGTTTCTGCCACTGTAACTATTTGCATAGCACCCAGAAATTTCTTTAACATTCTGTACTTCATATAAACGGCATCACGCATTAGTTGGACCTCCTCATCCTCAATATAAGTCAATTGCTCCAGCAACAGTAATAGATTTTGCGATATATGATGAAAAATTACATAGAAAGAAATCATGTAATTAAGTAGTAACAGAACCTTGAAATAAGGTACAAAAGCTCGGTAGCCAACAAGAGTCGAGTAAAATACACATCCGATTGCAGTAGTAGTTCGAGGCTCCGTTACGCAAAGGCGTTCGCAGGTGATGCAGTAGCCATAAGAGATGAGCAAAAAGGAAACGAATGAAACTATCTTTGGTACTGATGGAATAAGCTTCAGTCTACTATTGCGAAACTCATCAACGCCATCAACAAATCGTTGCAAAAGAGATCCGGGTACTAGTTCCCTTGTCACAAAATAGAATACCATACTATAATGTGTTGAGCCAGAAACTTGAACATTGAAGACCAAAGAGAAAAGCCCCTTCTCTGAAGCAACTTGTGCAGCACAGCCTTGACGCCTGACAACATAATCTATTCTTTTTGTGTCTTTAAACCAATCAACAGCAACCAGATCCATTAAATGCTTTCCCGCAGGAATCTTTGATTTGTTGTAACAAAAATGCTTGCTACGTACTCTGAAATTGTTACCATCCGTTATTCTCCAACAGTCACGAGAATTATCACGGTCATCATGCCGTAGATTACCAGAAAAGCATGACAAATCAATTCTCTCAACCGATTCTTCTTCCAGGGCTGTTCTCTTGATATCATAGTCACTTTTAGTAGGATATGCCTCATGTTTTGCTTCAAGCATTTGTTCTTCATCCTCATCGGAGTATTCATCCATCAACAAAGAGTTTCGGCTTGCAGCATTCATTTGATCAGGAGAAGCAGTGAGGGTAACAGATAACTCATATATCTTTTGAGTTTTTTTTTTCCTTTCCAGTTGGCATGAGTTAAAAATAATACCAAAGGCTTTAGTGGATACAATAGCGGGCCGAAAGTGAAAGCTGAAAGCAATAGATTCCAACCATGGTTGCATTATCCTTACTTAAAAAAATATCTCTTATTGAGTGGCCCTCAACTTGTTTATTAAAATAATAGTATGATAAAACAATTATTTTCCAACTAAACTTCATATCATTTCACAATAATAAACTATCGTATTCTATCAATCTCTTAAATTTATAATAATTAAGGGAAGAAAATTATAACTAAATTCCATGAATTTTCTCCATAATTCTTTTGAACCCAATACTTCAAAATTTCTAAAATTTATATCCTAAATCGGGGTGTGACAACACTGGTCAATTGAACAAATTCGATTGTAAGCTCCAACGTTTAATTTGGTTGAATTATAATTAAAAAATAGAAAAAGTATTCAATTTATATTTTAATTGAAGTTTATAGGTTAAATTAGAAATTAACTTTATATAACGTGTCATGTTATTAATGTAATACATTTGTTTCTGGGCCTTATGGGTTTCAGAAAGGATTTATGCCCAATCGCTACATTATGCAATTATATGGAACAATAGCAAAATGTTAATGGATTTAGTAAGCAGAAAGATCCCACGATACAAGATTTTATATTAAGGGATGTACTTATAAAAATATATTTAAAATATATATATATGCAATTAAAGTTTTCAAATAATAAAAATTAGTTGACCCTTATTCTCATATGTAATGGGGTAAAGGGAAAGTAAGATAGTAGGTTGCCCCAAACATTAGGTTGAAAGCAGCTTCTGTGAGAGACCTCCGAATTATGAATTGCCCATCATGGGATTTGATTTTATGACCACAAGGTTAAGAGCCTTGCACTCTACCAACTGAGTTGGACGGGTAATTCAAAATTTACAGATAATGATTGTGCTTATCCGTTCGTCTCAGTCTATTCCTGACTTTAACCCTATTTATTTGTACATTCGCCAGCCTGGATGCCATTATGGATCTTTTGATTTGAGGTGTCTATTTTTTATGGTTTTTTATGAGATTAGGGTGGATTGAAGGATATTTTGAGAGGAGGATTGTATCTTTTGAAAATTTTATTTTATATATAATTTAAGTATTATTTTTGGTAATTTTAAATATTTTTATATGTACCTTCTAAAATTTTATAGTTATGTATCTTTAAAAATTTAATATATTTTTTAAAAAATTCACACCCTAATCTAAAATTTTGCGTGATGATGAGATTATTTCTGTGTTCTCATTTAAAAATTATTTGAAATGATTTGAATGCAATACAAGTATTGAAATTTATCACATGTTCCACAATGCACCGATGGTTGTCAGTGTCACAACATTGACTAATCAAATGATAGCTAAAAGGACATAACGTGTACTGTCCAAACACAAATGTTTAGTTGCTTTGTACCAGGATCCATTTGATTACATGGAGGCTTACAGGGGATTTGGTTTGTTTTCTTTGATTCATAGTTATTGTTGGGGTGCAAAGTATCTGTTTTTTGTTTTTTATTTTTCATTATAAAATCTGGTTTCAGCTTTAGGAATGTGTCGGATTTTGTGCAGGAAAATGTGTCAGATATTTTAAAAATTGTTCATATTCTTTATTTAACAATTGATATATGATTTATTGACTAATTAATTTGTATTAAATATTATTGAAGTTTATTAAGAGGATGAAAAGTCATTCGTACTTTAATTGAGTAGTAATATGATTAGTATCATTATTCTATAATAAAACATCATTCATCATCATTTATGCATGAATTGTTACATCAATACAATGAAAAGTCATATTAATACAATCAATCGACACATTAATACACTTACAATTAATATAAAAAACAAAATTAATATAATTAAAAGACGTACTCAATTGTTGATTAAATTTTATTTTATGAACAAAATAAACTCTTAAACCAATTAAAAAGGATATTATTAATGCAGATAATATATGATTAATAAGTTGCACATACATGTTGAAACATATATGATTAATAAGTTGTGAGCAATTAACTAAAAGTTAAGAGTTCGAATTTTGACATTTATGAATAGAGTAAACTGGATTGAGAGAAGGTCGTTCTTATAATAGGCTTCTGCAAAATTTAATTTGGATTAGTTAATCAATATATAAGATACTATCGATTAATTCAAAAAATAAATTGTGAGCAAACTAGCAAGTTAATAGGGTTGCGGTGTTTAACTTGTATCTTTGTACTAATTGACAATGAAATTAAGTTTTATTTGTCTACAAACAATAATATAATCATAATTACTCAATCATCTAAGGTTTTATCTTATCCTAATTATCCTATAAGCTAAGGTCAATATGCATAACTTATGAAATTGCTCTTTAGTCGATAGAATTAGGGTTAACAATCAACGATTGAACTCGATTCTTAGACAGTTATCTGGACATCCATGTGCATCTCCATGCTGGTATTTGCATTGGGAAATCCGAGCCAAATTAATCGATGTTTCTAATAATTGTTTCTCGAATGGTGAACCATCGATCAGGAACCTGTTCATCTTTTTCCAATAATCGTCGATCTGATCAATTACATGTTGTCGAGACATTGCCTCGGAGCAACCAGTTTCCTTCATGTAGCATGTGATCGAGTTTGCGCTTTCACCTCTTTCCAGTTCATCCTTTGAAGTTCCCAAGTCGTTGCAGAGTCGAAAAATCGTGGACAGCCAATGAAGAAACTCGTGGTAACGTTCCAAGCTATCGAGTGCCTCACTGGTGATGTTTGAGCTTTGTAGAAAGTAGGCGTGGACTAGAAAAGCATGTCCAGAGACAGACATCCATGCATTTTCGAGATAGTCTTCGAATGTCGGAACATGTTTGCTGCGTGTCCACTTTGCTTCTTGCAGGAATGATTTGCAGTTTGCACAGATCAGCCCACTGAAAGAAAAATAATAGAAAGTCAAGCAGTTGCGTTTACAGGACGTGCGAATTGTCAATAGGCTAAGAAAATGTTTACCATACCGCTTTTGTTAAGTATGGGATGATGTTTTCCCCATGATCTCTAAGAGTTTCGTATGCCATCTCATTAACAGAGTTGTAAAGGGCAAGGAAGCATAGCTCCATACACTTTGGAAGATTTTTCCCTGCACATACATCCCATCTGAAATCCAAGATGTAAATTTTCTTATTAGAATACTGAGTAGTAAGGGCTAAATAAGATTGGGATTACATTAAGATTCGAACCTTTGAATAGCGTCGGTGAATAACTAAAGTTCATCCAAAGTGCCGAAAACGTCGTAAACATCAACGATTATTGTTACCAATGAGGCAACTTTGGTTAGACTTTTTCTGCAATCCCTGAATTGGGGTTCAGAAACCACTCCGACCGACCAAAAGAAGCATTCCATGAGCCTGTCCCTTGCGAAATTCAACTTGCTCATCAGCCCCGTGCCGATCCACCATCTAATCGAACGTTACAAAAGCGACGCCATTAGAGTTGCAAGTGCAAAGAACATGCTTTGAAGAACTTCTTTTCCTTACCTTGTCATATCTTGAAGATCTTCTTGAAGCGTTGATTGCACCATGTTGAAATCCAACTTGGCCAATTCAAGTAGGGTATGTTTTGTAGCATTCTTTCTTCCATAAGCTTCGATGTACCACCGAGCTTCAAGCCTGAGCATTCGTCGATGCAGTGGGAGCTCCAGCGAGTGGATCACCTGTTCTAATAAGCCCTTTTCCCAATTTCTAACACCATGTAAATCCATGAGATGCACTCGTGAAAACTCGAGTGCTTCTTCCATTAGATCCTCTCCTTCAAAGGCAAGATGTGAAGCTTCATACAAGCTCAACATTCCTTTGACATCCTTGTAAAGGCATTCCTTGAAACTCCCCTTATCATCCTTGAAAGCTTTAAAGATATCTGCATTCGGTCAACTTACCAGCATCAGCCTATGTAATCAAATTAGAGTACATGGACTAAATCCGTAACGACTTATCCGAATGTGATTAATTATTTGGCATGATGATCAACTCTTACCTTGTGAGACCTCGTAGCCATGTTGCCTGAGGAGCCTGAATCTTAGAGATGCTGCATGCAGACTATACTGCGTCGCGACACAGGCGTCGTCTGAGGACACGGACTTCTGAAGGGCTCTATCGATATCCGTCTTGAAACGATGACCCAATCCCAGCCGTTGGATGTCATCGATCAATTCAAGCAAGATCACCGGCTCTACATCTTCATCATGAATAGCAAACCTCACTTCCTGCTCTAACTCCGCTGCTCTCTCTTTGTATAATACGTCCTGGGAATTCAGCACCAAATAATTATGTAAACAATGAAATAGAGGGAGTGATGAGATAGTGTGAGGTCTAATTACATACGGCGTGGACATTGTTTAGGGACTGAAGGAAATCGTAGCTCCAAATACTTGGCTGATAATTCGCCGAACGCCTTCCGTCTTTCGGCTGATCGGAAACGGAAACTTGTGTGGTCGACGACACGGCACAGCAGATATGGAAACTTGTCCGATCAGATACAACTTGTTGAGGATGAATTGTGGTAGGGGTCATTATTTGCTTAGGGTTAAAACGAGACAGGCAGAGGTTGCTGGTTGGTATAAGTGCCATAGTTCTCTTCCTTTTTTTCTTGTGCACAATCTTATGTTTCCGCGTAGATGAGTTCGCTCCTTTTATAGCGAAAATGTCATGTTTATTGATTTAATTAATCAATTAATAAATTGAAAAACAATAATTAAATAAAAACAATATCTTATTTACCTATATAATAATACTTATATAACTACATTAGACATGATCGTATAGATAAGTAGGACCACATGAACCATTGAATAAAATAATGCACATGTTAAATGCTATATTAAAGTTTCATCAACATTTTTTTCGGAGCTAAAAGACATTTTACTTTTACTTTTGTATTTAGTCCATTTACTTTAATTTAGTCGATTTTAGTTTATGTATTTTT